GTCCGTGTCGTCAACTTCGTCCACCTCGTCAACTTCGTCACTTCGTCAAACTCGTCCACTTCGTCACATCATCCACTTCGCCAGTTCTTTACATTCGTCCACTTCGTCAAACTCGTCCATTCCTCCACGTCGTCCACTTCCTGCCCTTTGTCCACTTCGTCCCTTCTAAACACTTCGTCCACTCGTTCAACCTTCGTCCAAGCGTTCAACTTGCCCCACCTCCGTTCCCCTTCCTCCACTTCTCAATGTCCGCACTTCATAACTTAGGTAATCGTCAAGTTCGTCAACTTGTATCGTCCTACTTAGTCCATACTCGTCCACTTGTCCACTTCGTACACTCGTCCACCGCGTCCCTTCGGTCAACTTAGTCCACATGTCCATTCGTCCACTTCGTCCAATTCGTCCATTTCGGCCACTTCGTCCACTCGTCCATTCGTCCACTTCGTCCAATTGTCAACTTCGTTCCAATTAGTCCACTTCGTCCAACTTCGTCCACTTCGTCCACTTCGTCAACTTTGTCAACTGTCGTCCACTTCGTCCACTTGTCACTGATCCACTTTGTAAATTCGTCACTCGTCCACTTGAATCCACTTTGTAAAACTTTGTCCACTTCGCCACTTTGGCCACATCCTGCAACTCGTCCACGACGTCGTCAACTCACAAACTTCTTATACTTCGTCAACTTCCCAACCTTAGTCCACTTCGTACTTCGACACTTAGTCACTAGTCCACTTCCCCACTTACTTCCACCTTCTTTCCACTGCGGTCCATTCGTCACTCCGTCAACTCGTAATTACATCCACTTCGTCAAGTTTGTCTAATTCGCGGCGTCCACTTAGTTCACTTTTCCCCCACTTCGTCCATTATACACTTCGTCATGTCCAAAGTTCGTCAACGTTCGCATTCTTTCACATCCTCCCACTTCCTTTAGGTAGTCAATTCGTCAACTGTACACTTCGTCCAATCCTACCACTCGTCAATTCGTCCACTTCCTCCATTTCGTCCACTTCATCAACTTCGTCAACTGCCTCCAATTACTCCACTTTGTTCCACTCATTACCACTCCGTAACTTCGTCCCACTCGTCCACTTCATCCACTTCCTCACTGCGTCCCATTCCTCCACTTGTCTACTTTCAACTTCGTCCACTTGTAAAATTCGCCACTTGTCCTCTTCGCCCACTTCGGCAACTTCATCCACTTCGTAATTCGTCAACTTCGTACTTCGTCATTCTCGTCAACTTTCACTTCGTCCTCCACTTCCCCCAATCGTTCAACTGTCCATTAGTCATCTCGTCAACTTCTTCCACTTCGTCCATTCGTGCAACGTTGTCAACTTCGTCCACTAGTCAACGTCCTCCACTTCGGTGACTTCCTCCATTCCTCCACTTCCTTCAGTTCGTCAACTTCGTCCACTCTTCATTTGTCGAAGTTCGTAACTCGGGTTTTCCCCCAACACTTCGTCACTTCGTCGACTTCTCAGTTTCAAACTCCTCCCTCGTCCACCGTCAACGTCGTCAACTTCCTTGCCAACTTCGTCCACTTACTCCACTTCATCACTTCCTCTACTTGTTCACTCGTCAACACTTCGTTAACTTCGTACCACTTCGTCAAACTTCACCAACTGCGTCCACGTCGTACACTAGTCCCTTACTCCACTTCCTCCAGTAGTCCCCCACTTCGGCAACTTCCCCTTCGTTCACTTCCTTCAGGTCCTCCACTTCCTTCATTTCGCAAACTTCGTCCACTCGTCAAATTTGTCAACTTCGCTCAACTTCGCACCGTTTCCAATTGCTGCACTCCTCCACTCGGCAAATTGTCAACTTCCTGCACTGTCGTCGACTTACTCCACTTAGTCCACGCCTCCATTTGTAATTCATCTACTCGTTCAAACCTTTGTCACTTCGTCAAATACGTTCCCCGTCGGCACTGCGCAACTTGGGCCACTTCGTAACTGGTCCACTTGGTCCACTTCGGTCAATTCGTCCACTTCGTCCATTCGTCCAATCGTCAACTTCGTCCACTCGTCCACTTCGTCCACCTTGTCCACTTCGTCATCTTAGTCCCATTCATCAACTTTGTCCACTTCGGTAACACTTCGTCCACTTCGTCAATCCGTCCACTTAGTTCACTTCCGCCACTTCCTCACTTCCTCCACTTCCTCCACGTCATCCACTCTTTACACTTCGTAACTTCGTCCACTTAGTTAAATTCATCCACTTTGCCTTTAGTCATTTCAAAATTTGTCAACGGCATCCACTTCGTCAACTTCGTCCCACTTCGTCAGGCTTCTTCCACTTCGTCCCACTTCGTTAAAACTTCGTCAACTTTTTCCAACTTCGTTCCACGTAGTCCGTTCCTCGAATTTCCTCAATTCCTCCACTTCTCCACTCGTCCACTTCGTCCAGTTCTACATTCGTCAAAGTAGTCCACTTAGTAAACTTCATCACCTCGTCACTTCATCACTGCGTCCACTTGTCAATTCATCAAATTCTCCAATTCTCCACTTCCTCCTCCTAACTCGTGAACTTGTCCCTCGCGTCCACTTCGTCATAGTCACTTCCTTTTCCCCCCAACCTCTGTCGATTGTCCACTTCGCCACTAAGTCCATTCGTCCACTTCGTCCACTTCGTACTTCTAATATCCTCCACACCGTCAGTTCGTCAACTACAACTTCGTCAACTTCGTAAACGTGTTCCACTTCCTCCACTTCGTTCAACTGCGTCCACTTCCTCAAACTCACCCACTTCGTCAACTCATTGAAACTTCGTAAACTTTCCACTGACTACACTGGTCCACTTTCTTCCACTTCGTCCACTTCGTCACTTCGGTCACTTCGTCACTCCCACCGCTTCCACCACTTCGTCCACTTTGTTACACTTAGTCCAATTCGTCGAGTTCGTCAACTTCGTCCACTTCGTAAACTTGTCAGTTCGTCCCACTTCCTCCCACTTTGTCCACTTCCTCCACTCTTGTCTATTCGTCAAGTACGTCATTCGTCCATTGGTCCTCTTCATCCACTGGTTCCACATCGGCCAATCGTCAACTTCGCCAAGTCGTTCAACTTCGTCAACTTCGTCCACTTTCGTAATCTGGTCAACTTGTCATTGTCAACTTCGTCCCACTGGTCCACCATTAGTTCCTTCATCTACTTCCTCTGCTTCGTCCACTTCCTCCACTTCCCCACTTGTCAACTTCTGACTTGTCCAATTCGTCAAACTTAGTCCACTCGTTCACTTTCCTCCATTCCTCACTGCTTCAGTTCGAACCACTGGTTCCACTTCGTCAACTTTCGTATCTTCGTCATTCGCCACTTCGTCAACTTCATCATATTAGTCAATTCGTCCTCTTCGCCAATCGTCAACTTCTTCCAATTCCTCCACTTCCTCAACTTCGTCAAACTCATCATCTTCGTCGAACTTCGTCCCACTTTCTCACTCGTCCACTCGTCCACTGCGTACCACTTAGTCCACTTCACAACAACTTCGTCCACTTCGTCCCACTTATTCCAACTTCGTCACTTGTTCTCACTTCTCCACTCCTCCCACTTCCTAAGTTGTCAACTTCGTCAACTTCGTCCCAATTCTGCCACTTCGTCAACTCGTCAACTTCGTTCGACTTCCTCCACTAGATCCATTTCGTCCCACTCCTCAACTTCGTCAACTTCCTGCACTTCGTCCAAATCCACTTGTCCACTTCCTCCACTTTGTCTACTCGTCAACTTCGTCAATCCTCCACTTGGCACGGCGTCAACTTCGTTTCCCATTTGTAAACTTCTTTCCACGCGTCATCTTCGTCAACAATTCGTCCACTTTGTCTTTGGTCCACTTAGTCAGCTTCGTCAACATCGTAACTTCGTCTCGTACCACTTCGTCCATTATTCACTCCTACACTTCTCCACTTCCTCACTTCCTCCACTCGTCCACTTCTACACTTCGTCACCGTTGCACTTCGTCAACTCCTCCACTTCGTCTCTTCCTTCATTCCTCCAATTCATTCCACTTCTTAACTTCTCAACTCGTTAACTCGTTACTTAGTTTAATGCGTTAAACTTCGTCATTCTTCGTTCAATTCGTCCACTTTAGTCCACTTCGTCGACTTCGTCCACTTAGTTCACTCCTCCACTCTTCTCCACTTCGTAAAACTTTGTCCACTTCGTCCAATTCCAATCTCCACTTCAGTAAACTTCCACACTTCACCACTTCGTCCACTTCATCCATATCGTCAACTTCGTCGAGTTCGTCAACTTCGTCGAGTTCGTCAACTTCGTCCACTTCGTCAACTTCGTCCAGTTCATCAACTTCCTCCACTTCGTCCACTTCCTCCACTTTGTCTACTTCGTCAACTACGCACTAGTAGAAAAATGACTTTTTATAACAAAACCTATATGCGGATTAAAATAAAAATATCCATTATAATAGGAGAGATATTATAACGTAGTTTTTCAAAGCATGGTTAAATATGAGATGCAGGGTGGCAAAATGTAAATAAGTTTAAGACATATTATAACGTAGTTTTGAAACTAAGTTATAATATAAAACGCGCCGTGGCAAATTGTAAATAATTTTTAAAACCATATTATAAGTAGTTTGAAAATCAAGTTAATATAAAAAGCGGGGACAATCTTGTAAATAAGTGAAAAAATTGATAATTTCTTATAACGTGAAGTTTTAGTGTTTTAGGAATCAGTCTCATATCCTAACCCTCTCTTCATGTTCCCGTTCCCTCTCACTCTGATCCTCCTCACCTGCCCTCTCACCTCCATTCCTATTTCCTCTTCGTCTTCATCCACTCTCACTTACATTCTTGCACTCCTCACTCGCATTTTCGGCGCTTCTTCCGGTCGAGAAACTCTCTTCCTCAGCAGACTACTTCTGCCTCGCTGTATCTCGTCGAAATCTTTGGAAGCGAACCAAAGTAGGTTATGTTTTCCTTAAATTTGTTTATGTTTTCCCCTAATGTGTATGTTTTCTTCTATAATTTCACTAAATTCTTAGATTGTGGGGATTGGTTCGATTGCCGGAGAAAATAGCTGCGTTCACAGAGAGAGCAGAGAGGAGGAGGGTGCATGATCCACAGTGGTGATGGAGAATTTTGAAGGTATTTATAGTTCACATTGTCTCTGTAACCACTTTTCCCTCTTTATACGGTTAATGTAGTTTCAGTGATGTTGAAGAAAACAAAAAAAACGAGAATCTGCTCAAATTTACTTTGGATTTAGGGTTATATTTCTACAAATAAACCAGTGTATAAGACTATTTTGTAATTAAAAAAAACTTTTCTGTCTGATTATTTGAGCTGGATTTTTGGCCAATGAAAGTGGTTTAGAGAAAAAGTAGCAGAGCAGTGGTTGTCAAGCAGGGATTGTTTTCCGGGAAGAGGGGTTTTCTTACAGGGAGGTTTTTCAGGGGAAACGGGGTTTTCTTCAGGTAGGTGATTTCTGAACCATTACTTAGGAAAACTTTGATTTATGTCGGGCTGCTGGAAAGGTCTCTTCAACCATATTTAAAAGTGATGCCTTTTAACATCCATTTATGATAACACTAGATGATTTAAAGAGTGAAATTTTCTATTTTATTAAAGATCAAATAGAAGGATGTGTCATTATGGCAATGAAACACTATTATAAAAAGGTTGTTGTATGGGCATAGTATGTTGAACTGTATTCTTCCATATCTGCTTACATTTCTTCAACTGCCCATGCTTTAATCAATTTGCTCACTCACGAGGAGGGGATGTATAGGTGGCATATTGCGATTGGTTTAAACTTTATAGCGTATATGATTATCCTGTGTGTGATAATTTAATAACTGATGTGTTTGATTAAGTAGGTGAAGTGACATGGTTTAGTTAACACCACTGGTGCGTTACTTAATAGACACAAAAGTACGAACACAAATGCACAGGCGTCCCTTTTTTGAATTTGTTTATTAGGCGGGAAAGTATTGAGAGTGTTTGAGGAGCCGTGTTATATTGAAAATTGTAATCCACACCCTGGATAACAAAAATAGGACATGGATTCACTGGGATAAGACAAAGACACGAGGGAATAGACGGGGTTGATTTTGTCCACCACCCAATCTCTACTGTCCAAATCATCTCCATAATTGATTAAGGGTGTGGAAACCAGGCGGTCGGCGTATTTCGAGTTAGAATGTGTGTGTTCATTGGAAGAGCCAGTATTTCAGCCTTTATTTTATTTACGATTTCACGTCTGTGTACTTGGTATTGTATTATTTCACGTACTGAATTTGACAGGCATACACAAAATATGTTTCTCAATTTTATTTATTTTCTTGAGATTAAGATGGGGACAACTGTATTAAGATCCCCAGCAAGGCCATCATTCGTTTCGCATCGAAAAAACTAGAACTTATTTAAACAAGAAAACGCAGGACATACGAAGAAGTGCAGGGGCGTAACTCATCAGATGCTAGCAAACGTGCAAATTGGAACCTAGTGTTTAAATTTCTTTAGTCCTTGACACAAGCTTTAATTCTGGATCTCCATCTTTTAGCACAATTAACCAACCTTTCGACAGAATCAGTTCACTATTAAGAACTTGTGCAGGCACAATAATTGATTCGTATATAGAAGCACGGAAGCATGATTTTTCAATTTCAATCATGGCAAGGGAGTTGAATATGTTTTCAAAATGACAAACTTTTGTCTATTGTAATGAGCATTTTCAGTGAGAACAACCAATTATTTTCTAACGACACTAGAAACTGGATACAGGGAAAATTATTCTGGAGTCTGTGATATTGATTGCAGTGGTGGTGATCAGCCTAACTATCTACACCTTTATTGCCGCAAGGAGAGGCCATGATTTCAACTTTTTGGGCCCATTCTTGTTTGGAGCCTTGCTAATTCTTATTGCCTTTTCCCTGATACAGGTATTTTGCTCATGAAGTCTTTTATGTTTGGGGTGTTTCTTCCTGTACCGGATAAATTTTTTTCATATCTCCCTTTCAAAGTTAATGGCAATGGGTTGCTTTTCATTTATTTTGAGATTTCACTTTGCTTAAAAATCATACATTCAAAGTTAATGAGTGATTTTTGTTTACTGACGTATTTTTTTTATTTTAAATTTCTATACTTTAAATTATATAAAATACACTTTTGGTGCATGAACTATATCATTTTTATAATATTGGTAGTAGTTTGCGTCAATGGAGTATGCAATGTGCCACTTTTTCTGCTTTAATTGACCACTTTAATTGTTGTTTTAGTGTATTCAATTAAATTTTATTTTCAATTTTTTGTTAAAACAGGTTTATGGCTGATCCATCTACACCTACACCACCACAAAGTACTTGATAGAAATCTTTGAAAAAGCTGCTAAAGAGGTCTATTTAGCACCTTACTTGCATTGAAGACATTAGAAGGAACTGGGCTTCTTTTATTTTATTTTAAGTGTTAGTAGAAACTTGGCTAGTGTATGTACATTAATGTAATATTTTGATTTAATATATAGTTTCATGTATAAATGAGTATTAAATATTAGACTATTTAACATTTGAAATATTCTATTTTGTTAGTTTCAATAAATTTGTTTATTTAAAGCTATATTTATTATAAATGGATTGGATGAGATGATAAAGTGATATATTTTACTTCAATTGTCTGTGTATGTTTCTAATAATGCATTTCAATTACTTGGATGTTATAGGTGATTGACATGAGAACTCAAGGATTGTACTTTACGAGAGTTAGCAGGCAATTGAGGCAACAACTTGGAGAACTCAAAGCTAGAAGATTGTTGTCCACAGCTGTTTATCTTTTTTCCATTGGATCCAATGACTATGCATCCCCTTTCTATACAAACCCCATGAATGTCACTGTTCCATACCCTCCAAGAAATTTTGTAGATTTCGTCATTGGCAACATTACAACAGTGATCAAAGTATATTTTAATATTTTTCCTAACCATTGCACTAACATTTCTCTCTCTCATAATTATTCTTCGTTCCCATATGTTTGTAATTTTAAGAAATGATATTTTACGCAGGGAATTTACAGTGAAGGTGGAAGAAAATTTGCGTTTCTAAATGTTCCTCCTCTGAGTTGTGCTCCGTTACTAAGGGCATTCGTGAATGGAACAACTATAGAAGCATGTCTTGAAGCACAACCTTCTCCTCTTGCCAGACTACACAATATTGCTCTTTCCACATCTTTTCAAAACCTAGAAAGACAACTAAGGGGATTCAAATACTCAATTTTTAATTTCTATGATGCATTTCAAGAATTGGTCAAGTACCCTTCAAAATATGGTATATACATGTCCTTAATTTGTATATATAGTTAAGAAATAGGCTATAAACTTAACTCAATTCTATAAAATTTTCTACAATATAGATTTGTAAAATAAAGTTTGCACTTACTTATATATTCTAAATTGACATTTATCTCTAATCGATGTAGAACTTCCAACATATATCACAGTTTTTCTTAAAAAAACAAGAAGCAAAAAGCTTCATATTTATATGTAACCATTGTCTCTATTGTTTTTGTTGGTAAGGTTTTAGAGAGGGAAGTGTGGCTTGTTGTGGAGGTGGACCCTACAGAGGAGATTATAGTTGTGGAGGGAAAAGGGGTATCGAAGAATATGAATTATGCAGCGATCCTGGTGAGAATGTGTTCTTTGATTCTCTTCATCCATCGGAGAAAGCTGCTGAACATTTCGCTCGGCTAATGTGGAATGGTAACAGAGATGTGATTGAGTCTTACAATTTGGAGCAGTTGTTCAACCTTTAATAAATAGCTCTACGTGAATATAGTCCTTTGCAGAATAAAACAAAAATCATTACTGGATGCAGCATGATTGAATAAATATATGGTTATTGTAATAGTATGGTAAAAGTAAATGTTACAACTCTTTTAATAATCAATTAAAGCTAAGAATGTAATAAGGAATAACATTTCATGAATGTACTTTTAATATGTGAAATAAGCTTGGTTCTCTTTGATATGATAAAGAAAACATAACTGTGATCCATTTTCAAACACGCATTCATGAGACATGTGGTTGTTTGCATCGATCCTAGCAAATGATAAACCATTTAATATTAATTCATTTAAAGGTTGCCCCATAGTCTTTTGTTGTATTTTATTATCTACCTCTAAATATTGAAGAACCTTTCATCTAATCCAATTTCCTTATTTCTAATATGTCAAACTACACGAGGTAAGACTATGTTAGGAGGGTCAACACACACATACACATAGATCTTCACACTGGTAAGATGTTGCCCGCTTTGGGTCAAGCCCTCACGGATTTAGTTTTGATACCACTCCAAAAGGCCTCTTACCAATGGAGGTATCTTATGTGTATATAAATTCATGTCCATCTCTTATTTTATCCAATGTGGGACTTTGTTTGTACCCAACAGACTATAACATTTTTTTCACCATAGGTGCCGCTCCAACTTTTTTCTCTAGTACATTTTTATCCCATATTGTCTTGTGTATCCACTCATACAGTGTAACAATCTCATCTTTGCAAATTTGAGCATAAATTTCTTATTACCTTTATACAGTCCCAACATTCAATATCCCATACAAATTGCATTAGAGAATTGTCAATAAAACCATGGAAATGAAAGTAGTTACACAGTTACAGGTGAGGACAACAAACTTACTGTAAAAACCCTTTAGATGAGGATGATGACCAAGGATGAGCTTAGCGACCACCTCTAATTGAGGATTCTTCTCTTTAAATATTGGAAACTAAGATTCCATAAATGCCCTATTCAAATATTTAAAGCTAAATTGACAATCCACTATTCAAAGTAGTAGGAAAACATGAAAATTATACTTGTTCATATCATTTCTAGTTCCGATAAAATTTCAGTAATAGTACAAATAAGAGGGAGAAATATGGTTATCAAGAAGTATAGTTGATTTTGAACTTTTTTCTAATTTAATTGTTAAAAGGATATTAATAGCATGAAGTCAGTAATCACAGCAAATGTGGCAAAACAAAAATGGTAAGACTAAGATATTTGTACAATAACCAAACAAGCAAGAACAACTTGTTAATTGTAATTCATAAAATTATCCCTCGCAACATAGAATGTTGATGATAGGAAACAACATGAATAAGTAATGAAATAAGTAGAAAATGGAATGCAAAAAGGATCTTTGATTCTATTTTGTTGAAATCAAGGCAAATACAGAAGGAACATATCTGATTGGCCCTCTTCCAATCCTAGGTAGGAACATATCTGATTTGTCCTCTTCCAACCCTGTTGACCGTCCTTCTGCTGTTTTATACTCTCCAATAGCCTTCTTGAGCAAAGAAACATGAAACTGGGTGTATTTTCGAATTTGGTGGTAACTACAACCGATAAGTTATTTCTTCAACCATTTCAATGACTTTAAAAGGTCCTTAGCACCTTACGCTAAGCTTAGGACTGATGCGAGATATAACAAAATGTTGTCTGTGAGGTTTCAGTTTAAGAAACACCATGTCCCCTATCTCAAAACTTCTCTCTTGTTGGTGTTTGTTCGTCTGTGTCTTCATACGATCCTGGGAACACATCAAATGTCCTTTCAACTGAAAAATGACTTCATCTTTGTCAATTAGTTCATGTTTAATCGCCTCTACTTTCGCCTCTCCTCTTAACTCTGGAATAATTCTTGAAGGAGGCCTGCCATAAACTTCCTCGAAGTGTGTAGTCCCTATAAATTCATGATAAGTGGTGTTAAACCACAATTCTGCCCACGACAGCCAATGAATCTAGACTTTCGGTTGATCATTGATGAAACAATGAAGGTATGTCTCCAAGCATTGATTGGTCACTTCTGTTTGACCATCTGCCTATATGGGTGATGCTGAAATCATCCTTAACTTGGTTCCCTGCTGCGTGAAACATTGTCTCCAAAATGCACCTATAAACGTTAGGTCTCTATCACTTACCACTGACTTAGGTACCCCATGTCAACAAACCACTGTTAATCTCTTTGGCAAGTGCACCAAATCGTTCAAGTAATAAACCGTAATAAGACCAGGTATCGTTTTTCCAAGAGACTCGTAATACTATAAAATTGTGCGATTAACAACTCATCTAGACTCAAGAACAACTCATCATTTAAGAATATGTGCAAAAAGATAAATTCACAAGTAATTACAAGGTTGGACTTTGGTATTGAAGGCACTTGGAAATGTAAAAGTCTAGAAATTGTATGAAATGACATTGTTAAGGTTAGTTTTTACCAATGCACTCTTGTGTATAACCAATTTCATCTCCTCTCTATCAATTTACTAAAGTCAATCCACTAAAACACTCTAGCCCTAATCCCTTAGGTGAAAGAGCCTAGGTTTTCCTTATCAAACTCCAATCCCTTGAACAATCTAACAAGCAAACCCGCATTAAGAACTAGGATCTAAGACAACATGTGAATCATATCTCATCCCTGGCTCAATGACCCACAAGGACTCTTGTTTCAGTTCAAGATTTCATATCCCATCCCTGGCTCAATGAAACCCCAAAATCAAGTCATGAACATCCCCATTACATGCAAGCTTTAAGATCGGAAACAAGAATACTAGTAATAGATAGAAAAGTCATTTATAAATACGAAACAATCATTCATTACACATGAGTTCATAGGCTACATTTAACCCTAACAAGATGAATCTGGTTCTCCATTTCCATGGAGAACCCTAAAGCTTACAAATATGGAAGATGGAAGAAGAAGGAGACCCAAAGGAAGAGGAGGAGATGTTCCCACAAGCTCCTCGCGCCCTCCATGAGCTCCAGACGTGAAATCGCGCCTCCAAAGAACCAAAGACCCTTTTTTCTTTCTGCCTCGTGAGTATATATACTGTCCGAATTCTTGCTTAAGCTAAATTATTCTCGCTTAAGCGAGAATAAACTTCTTGGAGAAGATAGTCATTCTCGCTTAAGCTAAATTATTCTTGCTTAAGCGAAAATGACTTTTAAATCAATGACTTCCTGGATCACCGAGGCTCTTCAATGTAATGGAGGATCTTCCTAACATCGAAATAGATTAAAAAACAAGGGATTAGAATATTATTTACGCAATGTAGCTCAAAATATAGATAAATACTAAAACTAAATAAAAGAGAGGATTTAAGCAAGTAATAAGCTAAAGAAGAGTTGATTTTGCTACTAAAATGATGCTTAGATAATGGTAAGAATTAGCATTATCAACTACTTCTCTGATAAAAATCTCAGCAATACTTTTAGTAGTATATGGATGTTTTACTGGAATGAAATGACTATATTTTGTAAGTCTGTCAACCACCACCAATATAGTATCAAAACCCTTTGATTTTGGCAATCTTGTAATAAAGTCTAAGCTTATGTCTTCCCTGTTTCGGAATTGGCATCAACTGTAACAATCCTCCTGGAACAACAATTA